GCGCGCCTGTAGTTCCAGCTACTTGGAAGGCTGAGGCAGAAGGATCGCCGGAGCACAGCAGATCAAGGCTGCGGTGGCCAGGAGTGGCCACTGCACTCCAGTCGGGGCGACAGAGTGAGACTCCAATCCAAAAAAAAAGATTCCTTGTTGAAATGGCTACATGTTATTTGTGCAAAACACATTTTTAATAAATAAGGAAAAAAGCCAGCATTCAACGAAGAATCAGTATGATACTACACGATATCTGAGCTCATCTGCCATATATTGTATCATCCTGGGCAATTCCCTACTCCTCCCTGGGCCTCAGCTGTTTTATCTGTTAAATGAGAATGCTGATTTTTTTTTTTTTTGAAGTCAAGAGTCTCACTCTGTCGCCCAGGCTGGAGTGCAGTGGCATGTTCACAACCACCACAGCCACCTGTTAGGCTCAGGCAATCCTTCTGCCTCAGCCTTCCAAGTAGCCGGAACTACAGGCATGCGCCACCACATCTGGCTAATTTTTTTTTTTTTTTTAATTTATTGTAGAGACGAGGTCTCGTTAGGTTGTTCAGGCTAGAAAAATGTTGACTTAGAGTCTAGACTCTACATGAACTTTTGCTCAGTTTTAAATTTTCTACACTTCTATATAAATTTCCATCAGAAACTATAAGGGGGAGCTCTTACAGTTTTAAAATTTTGTCATCAAATAGTAATCACACTTCAACCCTTCCCACCTTTTCAAGTTTTCTAACACACTTTTGAAACTAAACTAGGCTATGCATACAAACCCTCTGCTCCATTTCCTTTCCCTTCCTTACTTCCTTCCCTGGTTAAGGTGATATACTATAGGGATGTTCTCATCAAAATATTGATTAAATAGCCTAGTATATACTCCACCAGACTGAGATTTAGATTGGAGTGACGATAAAGAGAACAATAACAATTAGCAACTTAAACTACTGATGAGCCATGGAGAATATATACTCTTCTCATAATACTACCAATTAACAACAATCATGTCATTAATTTACTAAAATTGAGTGAAAAACAAATTCAATAGCCAATTCTAACATGTAGAATTAAAAAAAAAAAGGTGCATTATGTACTGCTTCCCAAATAATGAGTTAGCTTTGTGTCATTTCAGGTCCAGGATTTTGGAAATAAAATATTTTATGGAATATATCTCATGTCAAAATAAACTACATAAAATTGTTTGGAGGGTCCATTCCATGTAATTAATCATAACGAGACTTTACATCTTCAAAATACTACCAACTAAATTAAATGTATAAACAGATTTTTTTTTTGAGGCTTTCATCTGGATGTAAAATAAATTGAGCAGAAGACAAAATACTTGTATATAAATTATACTATATAACTAAATTAAGCTATTTAAAGTATCCCAGAATCAAACAATAATGTTTACTAATTAATTGGCTATTTTACCTAAAGCATTTTAAAGAAGAAGAAGTGGTAGAATTAATTTCTTCTTCTGGAGAAGGTGGAACAAAATCTATATTGTAATCATCATCATCAAATTCAATACATGGGACTTTCTCAGTTGAATGTAATTCAGCTTCTTCCAAATTGTTCTTCTTTTCACTATTATCTAAAGTAAAAAGTTGATAAACCGGTTATTTCAATAAATAATCAGACAGAAAGAACAAGGCATGAGCATTTAAGAGTGAGTGCTTCTGGCAAGTCATAAACAATCATAATTCTTTGTATCGATTACTCTTGTTTTACTTGTTAAGTTTGTTTACTTCATAAATGATTATTGAGTCAACTGGATTAAGTTCAATGAATGCTGGTTTGAAGTCAAAGATTTGAATAGAAGTTTTCATGCTTGTTTCCAGTTAAACTATGAAACCCATAGTTAGTATCAATGTTTTCATTTTTAAATGTTTCACTCATATTTAAATAAGGGTAAAGAGCAATAAATAAGTCTGATAATAGCACAAACACTGCTGCTTATACATTACACAGAAAAGTACCATCTTCTCTTTACCACAAAGGCTGCCTAGTTATTTTAATCTCTTTTAGATAATGTGGGAAAACACAATGCCAAACTGTTGCTCTCTAGGTTATTTTTTAACAAAATTTATCTTCAGAAACAGCAACACTATTCATTGGACTATGTTCTGTTTATCATCAATTACTTTTCAGTCCTCTCTCACCCTATAGTAATCTTGATAGGATTCAAGTGTTTAAAATTTTTGATTCATATTTATAACTATTTCATTAGGTGGTTTACTTCCACATGTGGCAAATCTCAGTTATTAAATTTTAGACATTTAATAACTATAAGACTTATCCAGGATGAACTTTAAATATAACTTATAATACTTTAATAGCACAACTGAATCATATTATTTAGCAATATTAGGTAGCAACAAGTCATAAAGGAATTCTTTAGAAAGGCTTAGTTTCGCTTTCCAATTCTATCGCTAACTAGACATTTTAACCATTATGGATCTTGCAAGAACTCTCTCTTATCTGTGGGGGCTACATTTTTTTTTCTTTTTTGTAGAAACAGGAGTCTCACTATGTTGCCCAGGCTGGCCTCAAACTTCTGGGCTCAAGTCTCAGACTCCCAAAGTACTGGGATTACAGGCATGAACTACTATGCCCAATTGGGGAATACATTCCGAGAGTCCCAGTGGATTCCTGAAACTGCAGGCAGTACCAAGCCCTACATATGCTATGTTTTTCCTATATATACATATCTATGATAAAGTTTAATTTATAAATTAGGCACTGTAAGGAAATAACAATAATTAACTAATAAAATAGAACAATTATAATAAGCTGCAATGAAAGGTATGTGAATGTGGTCTCTTGGTCAAGATATCTTCTTATGCTATACTCTTCTTGTGAAGATGTATGATAATAAAATGCCTGTATTAGATGAAGTGAGATGAATGACATAGGTACGATGACATAAATGGAAAATTCCAGAAATAATTTAAGTTTTAAATTGTACCCTATTTTGAGTAATGTGATAAAATCTCACGCTAACCTGCACTATCCACCTGGATTGTTGTTATAGTCACTTAGTAGCAGTCTCTGTTACCAGATTAACTGTGGAGGTATCACAATGATGTTGTGTTTATGTAACTCTTATTTTTCTTAATAACTGTCCCAACGCATAAGAGTAATGATGCAATATATTTGGAACTCAGTTGGCCACAGGTAGCTAAAACCTTGAAATGTGAAACCACAAATAAGAAGGAGCTTCTATGTTTTTTTCATGTATAAAATCACAGTTATTCTTGAATAAGCATAATAAAATCTTTCATTTCATCAGTATGAATATGAACATATGAGCAGAATAAAACATTTCATTTCATCAGTATGTCCTGCCTCAAAAATTTGACCAAAAGATTATTTTTATATATTTTTTATTTTATTTTATTATAAAATGTGGGGTATGAGTCAGGATTAGCTATATAAATAACGTATGTGCAGGTGAAGTTTGGGCCTCCAACTGGTCCTCATTTCCCCTGTTTTAGGATCAGGTACCCTCTGTGTTGTTACATGGCACCCCCAATAGATTATTAAAAAAGCTATAGATCCTAAGATCCTTAAGGATATAAGCTACATCATATTCACTACTATTCCCCGTGTCTAGCTTTGAATTGAAAAAAATACAATCAACATACTAAACACAGTAATTTTTACCTCTTTCATCTCCCAAATGAGTTTCCAAAGAGTGACTTTTCTGAGTATCTTCACTTGTAGGCACTTTGAAAACAGGGCCATCATCAATGCAAATCACATCGCTACTTAACCATTCTGAGTCATCCTTTTGCTCCTTAGTCAAATCTACTTGCTTGCTTTCAGAGGAGGAAGTCAAATCAATATTTACTGTATTTGTTTTATAAAGCTGTGCTTTTAAAAAGTTTCTCTTAGCCTTTTTTGATTTCTGAGCAGTGCTTACTCTTACGAAGTGATTTCTGGACGGTGTAACAAATGCTTTTGAAGTCCCAGTAGTATCGAAGTCATCCATATCGTCCCAATCATCAATGGCATTAAAAGAATCTGATGAAGAACTAAATTCTAATGTCTTGAAAGCAGCATCACGAGATTTCTTTATAACTGGTGTATTCTGGGTAGTGCATAAAACTTCCTTCGGAATCTGCAATGATGGTTTTGAAGCAAGTCTCTGGGTTTGCTGTCCCTCTGGAGCATTCTTGAAGACGTCACTGATCCTGGTCGACTGATTTTTGATGTGGGATAGAGGTTCACTGAAGGAAAAGTCCTCAGTAACATTAACATCTTTATTACTTAACACAGGCATTTTTGCAACTGACACACTAGTCAGAGACACATCGCTTTCTGAAGATGTTTTCTTTTTAAAAGTGAAACCTCTGGAAAATAATGGAAAAAAAAACCCTCAGTTTGATTGATTCTTTTAAAAAAAGGTTTTTGGTTTTTTTTGTAGAGTCAGGGGTGTCTCCCTATGTCGCCCAGGGTGGTCTAGAACTCCTGGCCTTAAGCAATCCTCCCGCCTCAACCTTCCAAAGTGCTGGGATTACAAGTGTGAGACCCATACCTGGCCAGATTGATTCATTTTAACAAACCCACCAACTCGATAAAATATAGCTCTAATGTTCTTACTAATTCATACAGGTTATATTAATTGTGTCACAAATGAGCAAAGAATCCATCTCTTACTCTGATCTCAAAATTTATCAGGTAACAAATATTTTGTATTTGCCGATCCTCCTTATTAAGAGGCTAATTACTTCGTTTTGAGAGGCCACTCCCACTACTTTCTTTCTCAGGCTGGTAGTCCTTAATTAACAGCATCTCTAGAGGGAGGTGATAGCGCAAGTGAAAAAGGAAAGAGACTCAAATGTGTGTACTTTTTGCTACTCTGATAAAAAGGAGGAAAGGGTTTAAAACTGCTAGCTATGCTAAAATCTGAAAGACGAGTAAAAGAGGCAAGAATCTTGGCTATTTAATGGCAAGAAAGTCAGTGATGACTTCAAAGTCAAGTACCCAGAACAGTGTCTACAAACTGTTAAGGACATGATACATAATACAAATTATTATTAGATGTCATTAGAAGGAGTCTGGAGTATAGCTTGGAGGAGAGGCAGAACCAGAGAGCTGTAGCTTGCTATCTATCTATCTATCTATCTATCTATTCATTTATTTATTTATTTAGAGTCGGAGTCTCACTCTGTCACTTGGGCTGGAGTGCAGTGGTACACTCACAGCTACCACAGCCTCGACCAGCTGGGCTCAGGCAATCCTTTTGCCTCAGATTCCAAATAGCATGCACCACCATGCCCAGCTAATTTTTGATTTATTGTAGAGATGAGGTCTTGCCATGTTGTCTAGGCTGGTCTCAAACTCATGGGTTCAGGCAATCCTCTCACCTCCGCTTCCCAAAGTGCTGGGATTACAGATGTGAGCCACTGTGCCCAGCTTGTAGCTTTCTTATAACTGTTTTTGGAACAAATATAAAATTATATTAATATATTAAAAATCTTTATTTGCCCAAATTTACAAGAATATTTGTTATTCTTTTTTTTTTTTTTAATGTAGAGATGACGTCTCACCATGTTCCCCAGGTTGGTCTTGAATTCCTGGGCTCAAGCAGTCCTCTCACTTTGGTCTCCTAAAGTGCTGAGATTATAGGCATGAGCCACCAAGTCCAGCCAACAAATCTTTACTGAACAAATATTATGTGCCAGGAATTATGCAAAGGTGCCGAACAATTTATTACCAGGTGCTGGTAAAACATGCTCTACTATTAATTTGCAAAGTGGGAAAATCAATGCAACTCTCAGCTTTATTTCCTCATCTGTACAGTGAAAGCTGAAAGACAAGATATCTCATTTGTATGATATGGTGAGTTGCTGCCTATATGACAGTGAATCAACCAAAATACTTACGAAGACTTTGGTTTTGAAAGACTTAATTTATTATTAAGTCTTCTGGCTGAGTGACGCTCCAGTTGTTCCTGTAGATTATTTTGAGGGACAGCAGCCATAATCCTAAAAAAGTGAGAGGAAAAGAATATCAGTGGAGTTAGGTACTTCATATTAGTCACAATATTTATTGAGGAGGAGAAGGACTTGATTCAAACAGGCATTGTTCCAACTGTGCCCAGAGTAATGAGACTTTTTTCCAATAAATTGTTTTCACATTTACAACTGGTGACATTTGAAATATATAATCTTTAACTAACTGAAGGTTCACCTGAATAACAAAATGACATGGTTTCCTCTCTCTTCCTCCACACACACTAAAATAAGTACAAAAGATATTAGGGAAGGGACTGTATGGAAAGGGCTTGTAGAAAAATGGGACCTGGCCTAGACTTGAAAGCTAAACGGAAGCTGGACAGTGGTGAGTGAGGTGGGAGGAAATGATCAAAGCATACTGAAAGCCCAAAGAACAAATGAATAACTGGATTCTCTGTTCAAGAGCAAATCAGGGAGAAAAGGAACAGACCATTAATGAGAGTAAAGGTTTACCAGCAAGATATCATGCTTTTTTTTTTTTGAGTTGGCGTCTCACTCTGTTGCCCAGACTGGAGTGCAGTGGCATGCTCCTAGCCACCGCAGCCTAGGCCTGCTGGACTCCAGCAATCCTTCCACCTCAGCCTTCCAAGTAGCTGGAACTACAGGCGAGCGCTACCACACCTAGCTAATTTTTGATTTATTGTAGCGACGAGGTCTTGCCAAGTTGCCCATGCTGGTCTTGAACCCGAGGGCTCTGGCAATCCACTTGCCTTGGCTTCCCAAAGTGCTGTGATTACAGGCTGAGCCACCAAGCCCGGCCCGATATCATGCTTTATAATCATCTGGTTTCAACCTAAAATAGTATCTTTACCAGCACATTTATATCCCTGTGGAACAAACTGTGGTATTGCTGTACAATTGTCCAGGAAATATACAGTTTAAGTCACCTTACATTTACTGGGGCTAAAGGAAGCCAGGAGCTGGGCACAGTGGCTCATGCCTGTAATCCCAGCACTTTGTGGGGCAGAGGCGAGAGGATTGCCTGAGTCTAGAGGTTTGAGACCAGCCTGGGCAACATGGCGAGACTTCATCTCTACAATAAATCAAAAATTTAGCTGGGCATGGTGGCACATGCCTGTAGTTACAGCTACTTGGAAAGTTGAAGTGGAAGGATTGCCTGAACCCAGCTGGTTGAGGCTGCGGTGGCTTTGAGTGTGCCACTGCACTCTAGCCTATGCAACAGAGTGGGACTCTGCCCCCGCCCCCAAAAAAGAAAGCCAGGATGGTAAAAAATCCATGGATAGTAAAAAATCCTCATTGTAGCTGATAGTTATAGCCCCCTTTCCCACTTTATCTTTACCAGACATCTACTTTTATACTATACATCTTAGGAGGAGGGGTTAACATCAACAACACTAGATGATGTTTGTAGAAATACGAAATTTTACATAATTCATGTTCCACTCAATTATTAAAATAATCTGTTTATCAACTACTTTACTTTAGATAACAGTGAAAAGAAAAATTTGAAAGAAACTGAATATACTCAATTGAGAGATCTTGATAAGTTAAGTGTATAAGGATGATCATAATATCGATTTTGTCCTACCCTCTCCAGCAGAATAATTTCTGCTGCTGCTTCCTCTTTCATTGCTTTAGGTAACATAACTATTTAATAAATATTGAATAATTCACATTGGTATGTGAATTATATAATAAAGTTGTTCCTCAAAGTGATTCATGCTTGACCAGTGGGAGCCTTTTTAGGTGTGTTCTTCAGTCCTTATGATACAACCTTAGTAGTCTTTAATAGTTTCTTTTTTTTTTTTGAGTTGGGGTCTCACTTGGTCACCCAGACTGGAGTGCATTGGCTCCATCTCGGCTCACCACAGCTTTGACCTTCTGAGCTCAGGTGATCCTTCCGCCTCAGCCTTTCATCTAGCTGGGACTACCAGTGTGTGCCACCACACTCAGCTAATTTTTTAATTTTTTGTAGAGACAAAGTCTCACTATATTGCTTAGTCTGGTCTCTAACTCCTGCCCTTCCGCCTCGACCTTCCAAAGTGCTGGGATAATAGGAATGAGCCACCACACTCAGCCAAGAGCTTCTTTCCTATGTGGCATGAAAAGATAATCTAGGCTTATCTTATGTATTTTTTGCCCCAGACTTAGATTCAATCATTTCCCCAAGCAGTCCTGATTTTTTTAAATGGAGAATATCTTAAGTCCAAAATCCCTGCATGTACTAAGGCAGTGGTGCCCAACCTTTTTTGGCATCAGGGACCAGTTTCGTGGAAGACAATTGTTCCACGGATTGGGAGGGGGGATCATCAGGCATTAGATTCTCATAAAGAGCACGCAACCTAGATCCCTCGCATGCGCAGTTCACAACAGGGTTTACACTACTATGAGAATATAATGCCATGATGATCTGACAGACAGTGGAGCTCCGCTTGCCCAAAGCTCACCTCCTGCTATGTGGCCCAGTTCCTGTAAGGCCACAAACTGGTATAGGTCTGTGGCCCAGGGATTGGGGACCCCTGTCCTAAGGTTCCTCTCCATTTTGAGTCCAGTTTTAACATATTGGCCTTTTATTGAAGTGTACTCTCTCCAAGGTCCTGTACAATGTGGAAGACTTTCTCACAATGATAAATAATAGAGTGAAGACTACTACCCTCTCAGAATTTTAACCTCAGCCAGATAGACTGATGACAAGGAGGTGGAGGTAGAGGTACATACCTTCAGTCCTAAGACGCTAAAGCAGAACAAAATAGTCCACTTCATTATTATTTACCCTTTACCCACATTCCACCAATATCTTATTTATTTTTGGATTGAAACCAGCTGTGGTATTCTAGTAACAGAGATTTCCTACATTATCCCACAGCATGCTTTCATATGTATATTTAGCCATTCCAGTAGTATAACTGTTTGGTTAACTACTTCATAACTATAGTGATACATTATGGATTCATGGTTAGCATGAAGTAAAACGCTAAGGGCACTTTTCCCCACTTTTAAAATGCACCACTCTTTGGTTATTCCTCACAGGGTAGTGCTCCCCAGCCAGTCACATTTGGAAACAAGGTAGTGAGTACACAATTTTCCTACTCAAAATCCTTTAGTGGGAATGCTTTTAAGAAGTTGATGAGTACTGAGAAGCAAAGGGTGTCTCCACTGTACATAGCCCATTAAAATATCAACAGCATTGTTTGACACACACACAAAATTCACCAGCAAATCTGTAGTAGCAGCTACTCAGGAGAATGAGGCAGGAGGATCGCTTGAGCCCAGGGGTTCAGGTTGTAGTGCACTATGATTATGCCTGTGAAGAGCCACTGTATTCCAGCCTGGGCAACATAGTGAGGCTCCGTCTATAAAAAAAGAAAAAAATTGTTCACCAACAATAGATTAGTGATAAAAATTAAAGGAGAAAAATCAACTGAAAATAAATACATTGGGACTACTGAGAAGTTTCACAATTCAGAAAAAAAGAACCAAAGCAACAAGAGCCAAGAAGCTAAAAAAATAAATCTCTGAATTAGAATCACCAGTTCAATTTGGAAAATAATTAAAATTGTCTTATACATAAGAAAGAAGTTATTATGTCAGAATATAAATAATAAAAAAGCCAATTCAACAGTACAAAAATAATGTAATGAGTAAAACAAAATAAACCAGAAAGCCACATCCATGCACATAAAAATATATCAGTGAAAAGATAGTATGAAAGAATGATAATCCAGAGCTGGAATACCAAAAATATATCCAGCAAAGGAGACGTCTTGAAATAGTAAAATAAACCAATGGCAAAGAATGAATAATTAAAGGAGTCCTATCTAAACAATGTCTTGTACTAATAAAAATAATTGAGACCAGAAATTTAACAACCAGATTATGACACCAAGGAGTAGTTTTATAAAATTAAACTAAAAGGAAAAAAATTTTAAATCCTACACATAGCTAAGCAAGAAAAATATTGTTATTTGCGGTAACGATTACTTCTGATTACTTCTGAGAGATAGAACATTTACAAGATTTTCAGAATAAAAGACAGGCAACTTTCACATATGGCAAACAGCAGCATCTTTATGGAGTTTTAAAGTCATAGAAAATGTAAGCTTCAAGAATTATCTTTAAAACTGGTTACTAAGAATTGTTCAAATAGCAACAAACTGATTTTACAGGGAAAAGGACTATTGCTGGGAATGCAATAAAAGTAAAACACAAAAAACCTTTTTTAAAAAGAGACGTGAGTTGGAGAAAACAAAGTTAAAAAAATGCAGAATTCCTTTTCTTTCAATTAAATAAGACTAAAGTTGTTGACTGGGGATCTATCAAAATTAGGATACCTTCCCTCTCTAGGTCACACCTTCCTTTTATTCGTTTGGTTGGCAAAATATGATTATTTCACTATATCAAGAGACAGAATGCCAAAAAGGCTATTCTAAGACATTTAGTGCCAAGTACCATTAAGATGTTTCTGTTTCCAGTCTTCTACTAAAAGTGGAGGTTTTAGGGGTGGTTCCTGAAAAACACAGCCACGCTTGGTAACCCTCACACGGTGAGTGTTAAAGGGGAAGTTACTTTCCCTAGGGCAAAAATGGTGAGCCTGATCTAAGAACACTGACAATTTTAAGAGTCTCAACTTCACCTCAACTAGGGCAAGTAGGGCCGCAGACAACTTTTTCTGTTCAAATTGAGTAATAACTTTCTCTGTTCAAACTGAATATCAAATATACAATTTCTGGACAAAGAGGAATTTTTGGCAGGAATTCCATGTCAAATGTTCTCTTCAGTCATTGTTTTATGTGTCTGTACAATTTTTCTTCCAGAAACAAACATATAATTCTGTGCGAAAAATAAAGCTGTCAAAATTTGTAATCCCATTATTTCCCATTAGAAAGGGAAATGCATTAATTAATGGGTATCAGTGCAAGATGAGTAGCTATAATATTAAATGATGTCACTAATAATGCTATATCATCTCACCAGTTGAATTAATAAAAGTCAACATAATCAGGTCAATA